GCTGCTCAACATGCTCCCCGCTCAGTGGCGCGTGCGCGAGGGGATTCCCGCGTCGCGCGTTGCATGCCGTGGTTCACTCCAGCGCGCATTGGAGCTCATGGTCGTGGATGTCTGAGTGTTTGGAGTGAGGCGTCACGAGATCACCTGGAGACAACACGGCGCTTTGTTGCTGTGTGTGTTCGTTCAGCTGCCCACAACTCTTGCGACAGGCAGGCAGCCAGCTAGATAAGCCAGTTGGGCACAGCCATCCCGTGTTGCTCCGCCACCTCATTCAGGGCCCTTCCCGCGATGAGAGCATGAGCACTTGATGCAGCCCTTGATCGCTTCAGAGTGAGCACGAGCGACCATTCGCCAGCAGAGGGCTCGCCACTCTTCGAGGCTTATTGGCATCGTGTGCGACATGATCAGCGAGGTGAAGCGAGGCGCCCCGCTCGGTGCAGATCCCGCCACGGAGCCGCGCCGTAATTCAACTGAGCTGTAAGAGTCTGCGCTCGCATCAGCGAGGGGCGCAGCCGCCCTGGCATTAGACCCCCCCCCCGCCGCCTGCGGGCACTGTGCGGGGACCGCCCAGACAGGAAGTGGCGTGCGGGGATGCCGAGATCTCCGGAGGACCAGCCGCTGCAGCGAGACGTCGAAGCCCAGCCCGCTCCCCAGAGGTGACCGTGTTTTTTATTCATTGTGTTGCCGATCGGCGCGGGCCCTCGCACCCCTCATCGCCCCCTTCCCCCATGGAACAAGTCTTGGATGTTTTTGGCGCCTGCTTCTCGGGGGTGGACAGACCTCCTACCCTGACACGTCGATTAGCGAATTGGCCGTTTTCGGTTCGCGAGAGGGCGTCGCGGCCGTCATTTTTGCGGTCCAGGTCCGTCGGTTTCGGTCCCAGGCCGTTTTCATTAAGGGGATGTTTACTACAGGGAGGTTTGTCCACCGCCGAGTTTCAAGCAGGTGGGGACCCTCCCCCATAGGACGTCCTGTTGCGAACAGTCGCACTGAGCAGAGGTCCAGAGCCAGACCCCCCCCCACCCTCCCCCGCCCCCTTCCGCCCAATGTCGAAACACGCCGAACCAAAAAATAAGCCCACGAGCTCCGACGCACCCCTCGCAGAGGGCAGAGGCGCCTCGGACCCCCGCCGCCCATCGACTCAGGAAAAACTTGATCGCTCGCGGGGGCAGGGCTCGGATGTCGCCGCCCGATGGCGCGCTTCCGCGTCGGAGTGCCCCCCAGGAGGTGCCGCCCCGCCCCACCCGCGCCTGGGCAGAGCGAGCGGCAGGGTGCGGCGCGAGGTGCCATCCGCGGCAGGCATTTGGTGCACTGCCACGGCAAGCGGCAGTCCTGGACCCTAGAGGACCTGGCCTCGGGCAGGAGGGCACAAACGCCGTACGGGGGCCCAGAGCGGCCCCCATTGCACTACTACAGTCCACCTCCGTGCGTTGCATGTAGCACCTACGCCTTCAGCAAGCAGAACACCCCCTCGTTGGGGTCGCGCCGGCCTCGTTTCCTCAAGCCTGCCTTGAAGGGCTTCCCCTCGACAACACAGCATTATGAACACGTGATTTGGCAAAGACAGGTGCTCGATTTGGGAACGTCGTTGTGCCACCTTTCATTTCTGAGGACGCCCTTCCTCCCTGGTAGTCTGCATGGTTGACCCCGTGCTCTTCCTCCGATTCCGCACGCCCAGACGTGGGGGGGGGCATCGGTCAGCCTCGCCAGCTCTGAGCGCCAGGTTTCAAAGTGGGAGGAGGAGGAGGAGGAGGAGGAGGAGGAGGAGGAGGAGGAGGCGGTGCCCGAGGCTGCCCCTGGCTTCCTGGAGAACCCTCGGTTGGAGGCAGCATGCCCGGCAGTGGCACGTCAGCGCTCCACGGTTCCCCGGGGCACGGGCGGCCCTGCCCGAGGCGGACAGCAGGGCCTGCCCGAGGCACCGCGGACTGCCACGGTCCCGCGGCCCGCGCCCTCTGCCCCGACGCGCTCCGGCGGGGGCCGCCGGCCGTCCGCGGGAGGCCGCGCGGCCGAACTTTTCCCGTCCGCTCCGTAGCCGTGGTGGCTCCCAGCCTTTTGGCAGTGTCTCGCGGGCCCGCGCCGCGGACGCGTGGTCTCGCCCCAGGGGCGCCTGCGCGGCCGCCATGCGCGCCCTGAGCGGGGCCGCGGCGAGGGGCCGCGCCCGCGCTCCGGCTCTGGGCCCGCGGCGCGCAGGGCAGCGGCTCCTGCGCCAGGCCTGCGGGGAGGTCGCGGCCGGCGCCGCGCCCACGCCCGCGGCGCCCGCGTCGCGGCGGCTGCCCGTGCCCAAGCGGCCACTGCGAGGGGCGGGCTATGGCCGAGCAGTCAGCACGCAGGTCCTCGGCGCAGACCTGGAGGACGCGTCTGCGTCGAGCGAGCCGTCCGCCCTGCAGCTGCGGCGGCACTTTGTGCAGAGCATGGTGCCCATGGTCGGCTTCGGGTTCATGGACAACACGGTCATGATCCACGCCGGGAACCAGATAGACCTCACTCTGGGCGTCACGCTGGGCCTCACCACCCTGGCAGCAGCGGCCTGCGGCCAGATCTGCAGCGACGTGGCCGGCGTGACGTTCGGGGGCGTCTTCGAGGCTGGTTTTGCTAAGCTCGGGCTAGCGTCTCCAGGCTTCACAGAGGAGCAGGGTGAAAGCGCCACCGCCAAGCGGGTCGGGCTGTTGGGAAAGGTGGTGGGCGTGATCTGCGGGTGCTCGCTTGGACTCCTGAACTTGTTCCTCGTCGACACTCACGAGGCCAAGGAGTTCAAGCTCTCCGCCGCTGGCTCCGACGCGGTCAAGGATTTCAGTGTCACAATAAACAACCAGGAGCGCGAGGATTGCACGGCCATCACAATCGAGGGGCCGGCCACGAAGGGCCTCTTGGCCTCTGCGATCACGGCGCTGGGCAACGCGAACTGCGCGATCGCAGAGCTCGTGCACGACGACTCTGTGCCCGAGGGCGCTTTCAAGGTCCGCACGCTGTACGTCAAGAAGACATCAGGCTCTGACTGCAGCTCTGTTGACCTCGCAGGCCAGGTGGATGCTGACGACCTGGAGTCGATAGCGCGGGCGGTCATGTCAGCCTGCGAGCAGCCGGAGCGGTTTCAGGCGATCATCCAGGAGAATATCACGCTGCGCAGGGAGAACCAGGAACTTCACCTTCGAAAGGAGTTGTTGGAGGGAGAGTTGGACAGGAGCCTCATCTCCGTTACGAAGAGCGCCAGGAATACACCCTTGACCACGTCGGATTAAACGTATCTGCTGCGGCCTCAGATTGCGCACGGGCCTGTCATCGCCGCGGGGAATTGCCAAGGCGCTGGTGAATGACAGCAGAAGCTCTTAGCATACGACACTTGCTTTGGGAATGTGGGTGGGGCCTCTGAAACTGCAGACAGCTGGCTCGATCTTCGGGAGCTTCGTGGTGGATTCCGGCACGCCAGCGGAACGTCGGTTGGTGCGCGATTTTTGGGGCCAAGCGCGCAATCACACGCGCCTGCTATGTACGTGGGACGCAGCGCTTCATCTTCTCCTCCTTCTCCTCCTCCCCTGGTACGAGGGTGATCTGAGGGTGAGTTGTTGTCGTTCCTAGTATCCGAGGCAACCTGTTCAACCTTCCTGAGCATCAGCCGCAGCAGAAGGGAGAAAGAGAGAGACAGAGACAGAGAGGAGCTGTCAAAGGGAAGTCTCAGGGCTGCCGCTGTATTCCCCCCTAGCTACCCATGCTAGGATCGGCTCGGCTCAAGCCAGAGACCATTCAGTCTGTGTAGAATGTGCTGTCCAGAGGTTGCTGGGATATCGAATTCGTAATGCCGAAGCCCGTATGGACGGAGCACGCGACACAGAGGTGGCCAGAGGGCGGCCAGCCCCCTCCTGGGGGTGAAACATTCGCCTGATCTTCGTAAAAGACGGCGTCGCTTGGAGCTGGCCCCCCCCCCTTCCTCCTCTCCGGTTTCCTACTCGCCCTCGCCTTCCTCGTCCTCCTCGACCACGCTCGTCGCAGTCCTCCTCCTCCTCCTCCTCCTCCTCCTCCTCCCTCCGCCTACTCCTCGCCAGTTGCCGCCTCTCTACTGCTCTGCCTGCCTCCGCCATCCTCTGCTTCCTCCTCGCTTCTGGAGGCTGTCAAAACTTGCCGTGCCGAATGCGTGGAGGAAGTCGCAGTTGAGCTTTGTGGTGCCTCGGCGAAGGTCAGGATTTGGTTGCAAAAATGGCTGGCATGCAACCCACATCCATGCAAGGCAGCGTAACCATAACCAGCGCGCATAGTCGAAACCGTCGGTCAGAGCGCACTGTTTGTGCGGGACCCTGTGTGTGACACCCGACGCGTGGGGCCACGAGCGCGTGAGTGGATCCCTCCTATGCTGCCCCTCTCGACGCCGCCTCCGCTCCTGCGCTGCGGCGCTCGGTGTGGCACCGCGCTCTCGTCCCCCCCCGCGCCCGCGCAGCCGGCGCCTTCTCGCCTCCCCGCGCCCGCTGACTTCGCCCGCTGCGCGGGTGCCCGGGCAGTGGCCGTCCCCGGCCCCTCCCGAGCGGCCGCTTCCGGGGCCGGTGTCGAGGCCGTGTCCAGGGTACGTCGGGGCCGTCTCTGCCGCGCGCCACCCATTGGTCATGCCGGACGCGCGCGCGCGGATTCTTCTCTCTCTCTCTCTGTCTCTTCTTTCTCCTCCTTCTCCTCCTCCTCCTCCTCTTCCTCCTCATCCTCCTCCTCCTCTTCCTCCTCCTCCTCCGCCTCCTCCTCCTCCGCCTCCTCCTCCTTCTCCTCAGCCTCCTCCTCAGCCTCCTTCTCCTTTCTTCTCTCTATATATTTCTGTCTTCCGTGCGGAGCCAGGACACGGGTACGTCGTTCCGGAGCGTTCCCGAACGCTCACAGAGCGTTCGGGAGGCGCTTTGCAACGGCCACGGCGCCCGATACCTCCACCAGAATCGCCGGATCTCAGAGATCGCCCATCTATCTCGGATCGATTGTTCCGTTGTCTCGGCTTCGCCGTATTATGATTGTCATCGTTATGTTGTTTCACATTGCGAGTATGATTGTTCTTTTATGATATAATTCTACTGGTATATATATATATATATATATGTATGGATGTATGTACATGTGTATCTATGTATGTATCGTCCGTACTGTCCGTGACTCGACCTTCTGTCGCCAGGGCGTCGGGCGTTTTGCCGAGATTTGCGCAATCTGTTAGCGAGGAAAGCACTTGCGACCTTAGCGGGCGGCGCCCTGAAATTGAAGTCAAGATTTGCTCTATTTCTGTGCTCTGTTTGAACTGGCGCGGTTCTTGAGCAACCCGTCTTGTTTTCAGTCCCGTTCTCGTCCTCCTCCTCCTCCTTCTCCCGTCCTCCTCCTCCTCCTCCGTCCTTCCTCCTGCCTCCTTATTTATCTGCTCCCTCCCTTCTCCCTCTTCAAAGGGTCTTGGGGTCCTCGTGGAGACCTCGTGGGGACTTGGGGACTTGTTGAGGGCCCGTTTAGGGTCCTTCGGGAGTCTGAGGGCCTGGTCTCAACGTGCTCTTCCGAAGAGGCTCGTTTGAATTATCTTGGGCCGTTTTGGAGCACTAGTGGGTCGTCTGACAGGGTTGGGGCGCGCCTGGGGCTGCGGAGTAATAACTCTTTGATCTTCTGGTATGCTTAGTGATTTCCTGCTCTTGGAGCCTCGACGGCCGAAAGGTTTCTTGGTGTTAAGTCGGGTCTGTCCCTCTACAGGAGGAATATTTAAACATGGTCAACAATAGTAGGGGGACAACTGTTTGACATTGTTTCAGTTGTTTGAGCATGTTTTGCGTATTTTAGATTTTTCGCGCAAGATCACCCTGTAGGGGGACAGGCCCGACCTAATCTTGGTGTTTCTTGGGTCCGAGCGATCTCGGGGCCCCCGGGTGATCGTTGGGCCGCCTCAGGGTGGTCCTGGGGCAGTGTTTTCGCCATTTCGGGCCTTTCCTTGGCCATCTTGCAGTTCTGCTTTTTCCTTTTTACCGACTCTCTGGATGGATCCGCTCCGCCCTGCGATCCAAAGAAGTCGGCCGATGTCCAGCCGCACTCGCAGGACAGCTTGTTGAGCTGGCTGGGTGCACGAATCTTTCTGCGAAAGGAGATCACGGCAGCCTCCGTGGCCAACTGAGCCACGATGGCAGGACAGGATCGGGGCAAGGTTCTTGCACTCTCATCTCTGCTCTCGTCGCGTTACCCTGCCAGGCAGCATGCAAGCTGCAAGCATTCTGAAACGCGCCAGACAGGCCCCTTTGGCACGGTGGAGGATGCGTCTGTCGCAGGTTGGGGGGGTGAGATCGCAGTGAAACGGGTGAAGCGGAGAGCACCCCACCGGGAGGTCAGTTTCGGTATCGTGCCGTGCGTGCGGGCGAGGCGAATCTGCGTGGGCGCGCGAGGGGATCCCGCCCTGGCCATGGCGAAAGCGGGCACGGTGTCTCGCCTCGCCTGGGGTGCGCCGCCAGTGTTCTGTGGTCTCCCGTGGTGTCCCGCGGCGCGGTGTCCGGCGGTGTCTTTCTGTGGCCTATGGAGGTCGATAGCGAGATCGAGAGCGAGATCGGTTGTGAGGTTGATTGGGTGAGATCAATCGCGAGATCGGCAGTGCGATCGATAGTGAGGTCGATAGTGAAATCGAAAGGGAGATCTACGGTGAGATCGATGGATCGTGAGATCGATGCGGTGTCCCGTGGTGTCCCGCGGCAAGGTGTCCCGTAGTGGCCCATGCAGGCCGATAGTGAGTTCGATTATTATACCGATAGTGAAATCGATATAGAGATCGATCGTGAGATAGATAGTGAGACTAAAAGTGAGGCTGATGGTGAGATGATGGACAAATAATTGACGGATGGACCGCAAAGTGTCTTGATGGTGTCCCGATGGTGGTCCGATGGTGTCCCGATGGTAGTGTTTATTTGTCCCCAGGCTGTCCCGATGGTTTCCCATTGCAGTTGTCATCAGTTGCCCCCCCCAAAACACAATCTCCTTGTCACACGAACGGTGGTCGTATAGGAACGCATGCACGTACATGTTTGTAAACACATGCGCGCGTACACGAATGCACCATGCGTTTCCATCCTCTCTCGCCCTCTGACCCGTCCGCTCTCTCTTTCTCTCTCTCTCTCTCTCTCCCTCTCTCTCTCTCTCTTTATCTCGTGTGTCCTGTCTGACCCGCCCTCTCTTCTTTGCAATTGTCCATCTGGCCTCTTCGCTGGCCCATGATTTTGGCCCCCTGGCCCTCCGAAGCCGAGGGAGCTTGGAGAGGCGTGAGCGCAAGGAGCTGAAGCAGGCCCTCGGCTCCATCTTGGAGGCTGCCTCGCTCCACCCTCCCCCTCTCCCCAACACTTCGCCTTCCCCCCCGTCTTCGCCTCCCTTGACTCCGACAGTGGAGACCGATCTCGCCTCTAGGGTGCCCTGGGTTTCTTGGGTTTCGATTGTTTGCCTATGGAAAGCGTGACGTTCCCGCACCGCAAATCACTGGACGCCCTGGGGTCTCAGGGTTGGGTTCCTTGTTGAAGGTTTCTCGTGGTTGGGCCCCTGCTGTAACACGTGCTCTCCACGTCTGCTTTCGGCCCTTTCTGGTGGTGATTCGTGCACTGTTTGGGGTGACGCTCGATGGGCCCTCTGGGAGCCGATCTGGCCTTCGGTTGTAAGCACATGTATTAGCGATTGTGGTCGTGTTCTTGAGGTGCCATTACGTAAGCCATCTTATCTTGGTCGCGTTCTCAATTTGTCCTCTTTTTAAATCGTGCGGTGTTGATTGTTCCAGGCGCAGCTATTATGCTGAATCCCCTACTTCTTCCTTGTCTTCTCCTTTTGCAGAAGCCTTGCGCCCACTTCCATCGAATATTGCCAGCAAGTCCTCCTTCTCTTCCTCTTACGGGTGGGTGTTCCGTAGGCATTTTGGTTCAATATGGCACGCCATCGCGAGCCCAGCGTGGAGACCGCTAGCCCGCAGCCAGTCTCAACAGTCCCGCAGCCACACCCAGGGACGAGCTGCCGTCCACTCCTGCGCTATATCCTGGCGCTGCAGGCCGGCTTTCATATTGCTGTGTGTATCATGATTTTCGCACCGAGCATCCAGATCGTCTCGCGCCCCGTGCCGAGCATCCATATTCCTTCATCGAGCCCCGTGCCGTGCATCCATATTGTTTCACCGAGTGCCGTTCCGCCCCAGTCCAGTAGAGACAGTCAAGTACGCAGTGGTCTCACAGAGGACCTGGCCAGTGGCGAATCGTCGAAGAGCATCTTCATACCAGTTGCTTGCACTACGACATGTCAGCCGCCTCCTCCGATAGTGACGACCTCTCCAACGGCTCCACGTCCCGCAGCCGCCGAGACGACCGACGCCATCGCCGAGAAGATTCCGTGCCGCGACGAACGTCGCCATCAGGACCGTCAGCATCGCGGAGAAGATTCCCGCAGGGAGGGCCGACGCGCTGCTCGCGAACTCCACACTGGATTCGCCAATCAAGGGCCCGCACGTGCTCCCAAACCGCATCCCCGCGCGGAAGTGCGGAGTACGGCACGCCTACCACCGACCCCATCACGCAGGACAGTCATATCGGGAGGAAGCGCAGCGCCCAGAGCCCCCGCCGTGGCCATGGAAGCGGACACGAAGGCTCCACCGGGTCATGCTAACCTCTCTTCTACATCAGGTACCACCGAACCATGGACCAACTCTTGCTGTGTCGAACAACAGCTGGGCCCCGCAGCTGCCGCACAACTCGCACGTGACATCGGAACGGCGCCAACCTGTGCATCTCAACCTGACGCGCTGTACCAGCCACTCCAGTCGTTGGCCACGCTACTCCTGGACCCGAACACCCACATCATCCACAACCAACACGACATGGACCACTCCCTGAAATACCCGGAGATCGGGACGTCGCTCTACGGGGACTCATGCAAAGCCAAGTCGCCATTGCCGCCTCCCGCTTCCAAGCGCAAGCTGACCAGCCTCTCGCTGAATATCGTGAACGTTTCCGCCATCTCGTACAGCAGCCAGTTTCTACGATTGAACGCCGGGTCGATGTGCTTCGGGACGAAATTGTCCGCGCCCGCAGAGAACAAGACCGCCAAGCTGCGGAACACCAGCGCACGTGGCAACACATCGACCAGATACGCGATACCTTGGCCCTCGCCGAAGCGCAGGCCCCGATCGCGGACCTCAGCCGCCTCGCCGAGTGGGACCGCCAGCCTGATCCCACCCTCCTCTCCGTGGGCTGCCAGCGCCTCATCGCGCCGAACGCCTTGCTCAACGACCTCCAGGAATGGATCGCAGAAACAAATCTTCAATCGAGTCAAGTGGAGCCACTGGGAGATGGTGACCCCTTCGCGACGTTTCATATGCCGATACCACGGGCCAGCAAGTCGGCATCTATATCAACTCTGGCAAGTCCCTCAAGCAGATCCGGGCTGAAATTCATTCAGACCACGAAGTTCCTGCAAGGCATGCGGCACCGCCATCTTCAGCAGCGTTGGAAGGGCCCTCTGCGCCAAAGGAGGGAGACGCTGCGACTCCATGCCCATCGCCAAGATCATCATCCGCGGCCAGAACCACCCCTCCATCCTCCAGTAGAACGAGCAAGCCTTTGACCACCAACAATATCAGTGCATCGACCGCGGCAACATCTTACCTCCTTCCAGGCGCTGTTGGCTGACGCAGAGGCTGCTGCGTGGCGCCCCTAACCTCCGCTGGGCGCCACGGCGACTTGACGCCGCCACGGGGGCGACTACTATCGCCGCGTGGCACGCTCAAGCTCTCTTGCGCTGCAAGAGCAGGCGTTGCCGTCGCAATCAGTCTGCTCTCACCAAGTTCATGAAGCGTAAGTGCGTGATCACGCCCCAGGGTTCATGGCTCTGAGGCCCTGCTCCGCACCTGCGTCGACACGCAGCCGTGCCCCGTACAAGGTCTACTTCTCAGCGATCCCTACCGTAGACGGCGGCAGCGCCGCAAGTGGGGTCGCCGCGCTTGTTCCGAGGCTCTCGCCGATGGAGCTGGAACAGCTCCAGCAGCATCAGCTCCCGCTCTTCGATTACGTCGAAATTGTTCCTGGACGCGTCCAGTAGCTCACGATCACGCGCGCTATCGCGCAGGCCACAATGGTTCTCATGAGTGCCCATAACCGCGACATCGTGTTCGACGGCCGCCGCGAGATCCAGCGGGCGCGGAAGTTCGATCGTGCATGGGCGGAGGCGAACTACCGCACGCGCACGTTCATTGCGATCGGGCACTTCGAAGCTGCCAGCCGCCCTCCACAGAGCTTCTTCCAACCGCGACCGCAGGGGGCGCGCCGTGGCCTCGGTGACAGCACGCGCCAACAGCAGCCACTCTGAAAACCCCTCTCTGACTCTATGCTGAAGATCGAGACCGACCTACCGACGCGCTTCAACCGCCCGGACTACACCGCTTCCACCACCGACCGCATCTCCATCAGCTTCCCATCTCACGCCACGACCAAGTTCACCATCAACGCGAAGGTCGCATGCCATGCGACACTACTTCCAGACGACCGCCTCAGTGACCACGCGATCATCACATTCTCCATCGGGATCAAACCATGCACCCCGCTCATTGACCAGGCCATCCACCCGTCGATCTTTCGCGACCCGAACTACTCCGCCTACCTTTAGCAGCTGCTGGGTGCCACGAAGACCGACCGCGTATCCATAGACAGCCGCTGGCGCACTCACAAGAGACCAATGGCTGAAGCGGCACCGTTGGCACGTGACGATTGGTTTCGGAAGACCACCGGTGACGCTAACAAGACGGGCCTTCTCGCTGGGGGCGCCCCCGCTGCCCGCCCCATATCCCGAGCCATCTGTTGGCGAGATCTTCACCTGGCTCGCCGCGTCGCCACCGCCGCCGCCCTGGGCGCCAAGTACCTTTCGATCGACAACGGCGCCATCACGCTCCGCGACCCCATCGCCTTCGCCAACCAGCCCGCGCATCTGCTCCGCGACTTCGAGGGCAGGCAACTCTCTCCTCCCCAGCAGGCAGCTCAGCGCCCTCAGGGGCATAAGGGGGCACTGCCGCCAGGGAAGCTTCGGTCCATCATGCGGCCCCCCCAACGTCGGGGCCTCCTTTGGGCCCCCTGGGAGCGCCGTCTCGTCATCCAGGGCGCCGAGATCTCAGGCCCCGATGGGCCTCAGACTGCCAGAGAGAGTAGCTCCACTGTTGCTGCTGTTCGCGCGCACTGGCAGCCCATCCCCGAGGCGAAGCGTGCCGGCGTCGCCAAGGTCACCAATCACATCCACACGCGCATGCCGACAGGCGACGCCCTCGACACCGTGACGCCCGCCAAGCCGCAAGTCAAAGCCTTCTTGCGCAGGACCTCCCCATCGGCTCCAGGTCCTGGCTCCCTGCCATATTCTGCCTGGCTCGAGCGCGACGCATCGCGTGACCTGCTTATCCTTATTCCTCTGCTCGCGCCAGTACAACACCCGCGATCTGAACGACTCCGACTTCGCCTTCCCGCCGAAGGGTGACAATGCGCAGGGCGAGCTCGCCACTGACCAGCCGCCTGAGGACGCGCGCCCCCTCTCGCTAAATATCGCGGACATCAAGGCCATCGCTGGCGCCGCGAATCCCATGCTCAAGAGCGCTGTGGCAGAGCGCGCGCACTTCGCCCAGCAGGGCTTCGTCCAGGGCCGCAACTTCACCAAGCACACCGCCCGCCTCGACGCTGAGATGCGCCGTGCTGGATGGCTACCAGACGCAGTTGTATCCAAACCCGTCTTCGCCAGCTTTGACTTCTCGGCGGTCTTCCCGTCGCTGAGACGGGACTGGCTCTTCATCGCGCTCGAGCACTTCGGCCCCCCGAACGGCGTCCCCAACCTCTCTCATGCCATGTACTTTGCGCCCGCCAGCTACATCAAGATCGACGGAGTGCGCCGCGACATGTTCGCGATAGGCTCTGAAGTGGCACGTGGCTGCCCCGCATCAGGCTCGGCGTGGGCGATGGCCATGGGCCCGATCATGCGCCATGCTGCGTCGTTCGTGGAAGATTCGAACGGCGCGCCGATCTTCGCCACTGGCTACGTGGGCGCCTGCGCCGACGACATTGGCCTGCCGACGTACTCGTTCGACGCGCCGCGCCAAGTGACCGCCCCGTTAACCGCTGCAGAGGAGCTCGCGCATCTCTTTTTTTTCTCTCTCTTTTTTTCTCTCTCTCTCTCTCTCTCTCTCTCTCTCTCTCTCTCTCTCTCCCTCTCTCTCTCATTCTCTGATGCCTCGCAAGTGCTTTATCGTTCCCCTTTGGTCTGCCGCGTTCCCTGCCACCATTGCAACGACGAATGCACTCCCGGCCGAACTCAGACCACCGCGGGGTGGCCTCTCGCTTGCAGGGCGAGCCAAATACCTGGGCACATTCCCCGGCCCCGAAGCCACGCTGGCCAGCCAATGGCCCGCTCCTGGGAATAACTGGTGACAACGGGGTAAGTTACCTCAGCTCGTGCAGAGTGGCAGCGACGCAGCGGCTCGCTTATCCAATGCAGCAGAGTTGCCTAGTGCGAGCTATGCTTTGCAGCCCCCCCCCCCTCCCCCCCTCGACCCCCCCATCGCTCGCCGTGAACAGTTTATTTTTTCACCAAATGCCCAGCATACCACCGAATTCTTTCCGCGAGGATGACCTGATCGCCATTGCGAGCTGGTGCCCGCCACCTGTCATTCAGTCTGCGCAAATTCTAGCTGTCGCCTCTGCTGCACTGTCTGCCACTGTCTGCGGCGGTGACGCTTGCAACCCCCCTGGAGACTTTCGCAGATCGCCTAGCAGAAGTGCCGTGGGATGAATCAACGCTACATAACGCTTCCCGCTGGCAGGCAGGCACTTGGTCTCCACCATTCTGGTCACCCCAGACAGCCATCGTTCAGCACTACCGCCCTCTCACGCGCCACGAAGCTCAGTTGCCCTCCGCTAGCCAGTCCATTGCTGCTGCCGCCCACGCTGCCCACAATGAGCAGAGAGCTGCGGCAGCAGCGAACCCGCCCCGACGCGCCAAGTTCCAACGCATCTATTCAGACAAGCTGCGCGACCAGTCTTTCAAGTTCCCTTTCGCGGCCACGCTCTCCACGTGCCTCCTTGCGCGGGGCGGGCCCCCCAAGCGCCCCCGGCGCATGGGGAACTACAGAAGCGCTGGGAGGCACTGGCCGGCACTCTCAAGCAATTGCGCCCGAGCTGGCGCTGGGCCACTTTCAAGACACTCGGCGGCCCCCGCCGCAGCAGATGCAGCTGACCCAACCAGCCCGATGCCGCTGCCGTCTGCGATCTCAAGGATCGTTCTGGCATTCCAAATTTACAATATGACGAAACACACTGCCAGCGCGCGCGGCGGCCGCCTCGCAAGCAAACCTTGTCGTTTCACGCCGCGCTGCTCTTTCATTGCTGTACAAGTAGAGGAGCTGGGCCAGAGCACAGCGGCTGAGCCTAACTCTTTGCCCTCTCGTTCGTGCTCGTGCCCGCCTGCCCTCTTCTTTTCTCAAGATACCCATACTCCTCATACGGGTGGGTGGGTGGGCGGTTTGTTTGAGCACTTGGGCTGGCGACGAACAGTGGAGCTCACTGCCTCAAGGTCCCGCATCAGCTCTAGCAGTACACATCCAGCGTTCAATGACGGGCTGTCTGGGGCCAGCGTTGGCACACACATGCACATGTTTGCCAACGCGGGCCCCAATCAGTGAGACCCTAGCAAAATAGGTTGTACCATCTACCTACGTGCTGCAGCACATGGTATACATGATATATACATATGTCATGAAGTTGCACCCTATGTTGTGCAAGCTACGTTGGACAGTCGACGTGACGCGACCTATGAGGTACAACATGTTTTGTGCAATCTAGGTGGACCAACAAATGTGGTGCACCCCTTGTGGTGCAATCTACGTCGAACAACATGTGATGCGCATTTTGTGTAGTGCAAATTGCGTGGTGCATTCATTAATTGTGGCGCAGCCCAGGTGGTGCAACCAGCGTGGCGAAAGTTAGGCTATGTGGTCGATGCTGTGCGCAACGTATGCGGTGCAATGTTCGGCAATTGTTGTGGTGGACTATCTTTATATAGGTATAGAGAGATCGATGAATAGAGACATGTTGCTCGGTCTCTGTGGGGCGGCGACGGGACGGCAACAAGCGGTCTCTGTGCGACCGCGGCAACAAGCGCGACGACCGACACACAGACCCGTGCGACGGGCGGGGACGAGGCGGCGACGGGGCGGCGACGGCGGCAGCCAACGTTGCGACCGACAGACAGGCCCGCACGACGGGCGGCGGCGAGGCGACGACGGGGCGACGACGGCGGCAACAAGGCCGCCAGACCGACACAGACATAATCAGTGTGCGTATATATACCCACACGCGCACACCTACTGACTGGCCCTGCTGCCGACCTACCTGCACAGACATACGTACGCAGATGCGTACATGCATGCATACATACATGCAGTGACCCTTGGTCCATGCCACCACTGCTCCTAGGTTGTAGGTCAGATGCATGTTGGATGCCCGTGGGGATCTCTTGAGTCTCGGGGGGCCTCTCGGGAGCCCGTTGGAGCCGGTTGTTGGGCCTCTCGGGTGCCTGTTCGGGGCCCGTTGGGGCATGATTTGGACTTCTTGGGGGCCTCCTGGAGCTTCTCGGTGGGGGGGGGGCTGCTGGCGGTGTCGAAGGTCTTGGGGCGGCGGGCTCGGAACGTCGGCTTGTGTTCCCACTTTATGAGGTGTCTCTTGGGTTCCTCTCTGGGTTTTCTTGGGCCGTTTTCTGGGAGGGCCCTCTTGGGCCGTGTGGGTGCCGCCTCGGAGGCCTCTTGGGCCGCATTGGGGAGATCTTGGGGGCCTCTTGTCTTGGAGCGCCGACATTCTTGAGAAGGCGAACGCGCGAAAATTAACCAGCGACCATCGGAGATCCACATGTTTGGGCATCTCGGGGGCCTTGGGGGCATCTTGGGCCATCTGGAGACCATGTTGGGTGTTTTGGAGCGCGAGTGCGCCGTCTCGAAGGCCTGTTGGGGCACTAACTCATATCCGTATTGTTCTTCGACCTTCCACACCTCTTTTGCATCCTGGCCTTCCTATGGGCCCGCGCGTTTGGCTGGCCTGCCGCCCTTGTAGGGGTGCTGGCACACTCGGGGCACTCCTGGCCCGCCTTGGGGCCCCCTGGCCTCCGAAGAAGTCGCGCCCTCGCGTGCGAGAAGCACGAAGCCGAACGTTTTCGGACGATGGTGGCTTCGACCCCACGGCCTCCAGGACGGCCCGAGACCCCCCAGTTGGAGCGTCGAGGTTGGCCGAGGTCGGTCACGAGAGGGCTCCAGCGGGCACGGGTGGGCCATACGATTGCCAGAGGAGCCCCAGGATCGCCCAGGTCTCTCCCAGGAGGGTGGGTGGCGGGGGGTGGGCGAGCGGGGCCCGGGACCATCCCCCCGACCCCCACCGCTTTGACGAGGACGACGACGACGGCGACGGCGACGGCGACGGCGACGACGACGACGACGACGTCGGACGACGTCGGACGACGACGACGTCGGACGATGATGACGGCGACGACGACGACGAACGACGACGGACGACGTCGGACGACGACGACGACGACGACGACGACGACGACGACGGACGACGTCGGACGACGTCGGACGACGACGACGACGTCGGACGGTGATGACGACGACGACGACGACGACGACGACGACGACGACGACGACGACGACGACGACGACGACGACGACGACGGCGACGGCGACGGCGACGACGGCGACGGCGACGGCGACGGCGACGGCGACGACGACGCGATAGCGAAGTTCCTTGGTTGAGAGCCTCGATTTCCCTTCGGATGCTGGGCCTGAGGAGGTGGGTCCAGGGTGGCCGCACGGAGTGGGGACTCGCTCCGAGTGAGACCCTCGCGGGAGCCGACAAGGTCGGCGGACACTCGGGTCGGGCCGAACGAAAGGGGGGGATAGGGAAAGGGGGGGTTACAAAATCTGCTGCATGCAGCTGGTTTCGGCCCCGCCGCCGGGCCCATTCCTCGATACAGGGGCGCCTCCCGGCGCCGGGAGGCGCCGGGAGAATTCACGCTACGTGAGCTGATTCTCGGACCCCCCCTTTGCGATCCCCCCCCTTCGCCCGGCCCGATTGGGGCTTCGCCAACCTGCAGCCTCCGCGCGGCGGTTTCGCAGGCACTCGGCATCCGCGCGGCGGCCAGCGGATGTCCCGAGAGTCGGCGTGGCCTCTTTCCAGCAGGGAAGAAGACACACACACAGACACACTTATCCGTCGATTCCCCAGAACATGTGGGAGAATATGGGGGTGTGGGGGGGGGAGACGCCAGCCCCGAAGATATGAGAAAACATGGGGAGTCTGTTTATCTGTGTGTATTGTGTTGTGTGTGTGTGTGTGTGTCCTGGGGCCCCTTTATGTGTGCCTCTCTGGGCATGCTGCCCCTCTGGCCTCTGGCCCCTCGTGCTCCGTCCTCGACCGGCCGTCCCGCCTGCAGCCTCGGATGCTCTCTCTCTCTCTCTCGCTTGCACCTGCTCTCCCACCTCCTCCTGCCCAGCCTGTCCATCATAGTTTGGTTGTGTTCTCTCTCTCTCTCTCTCTCTTTTTTTTGTTCTCTCTCTCTCTCTCACTTTCTCTCTCTCTCTCTCTCGCTATCTCTCTCTCTCTCTCGCTTACACCTGCTCTCCCACCTCTTCCTACCCAGCCTGTCCAGAATAGTTTGGTTGTGTTATCACCTGTTCTCTCTCTCTCTCTCTCTCTTTTTCTTTTCTCTCTCTCTCTCTCTCTGTATAGCTTTGTTCCCAGATCGGCTCTCCTGGCTGCAGCACCCCGGCCTGTGCACCGCTCGCCTTGGCACTCGAAACATCTCGCTCAGTGCTACGACCGCAACGACACTGGCGACATCAGCCAGGCTGATTTTGAGTGCTTGCTCGCGAACCCAGAGGCGCTCTGTGGGGAGTGCAGGTTCATGAGAGGGGCAACGGTGGATTGAGCACTTCATGCCGCTCCAGCGCAGGGTGGTGTACCCCACGTCCTTGACAAGGTACTGCATGCCTGGTCGACCGCGTCGGATAGATCGGTTGGCAGGAACGAAGACCTCCCAGCCACACCTGCCATCTTTCCCAGCCGCGTGTCGGTCTTTTTGGGGGACGCCGTTTTCCTTTCCTCCTCCGAAGTGCTGGCCAGCCTCTTCCCCCGCGCTGCTCCCTGGCCCGCGCCCCCCTTGAAGAGGCCCCAGCGCACGTTTCTAGGCCTCCTGGATGGGGTCCGAGCAGACGGGGTCGGAGCATCGCGCCGCACCGCCGATGCATCGACGATGCGGTTCGATGTGGAGACCGTGTTTTCTCGTGCCGACGTCGCCCGACGTATCGCCGATGCGTCGCCGATGCATCGCCGACACATCGCCCTCGACCCCATCTCTCCCGACCACACCTAAGAGGCCTCTAACGTTGCCGCCCGCGCCCCAGAGTCGCTCCGCCCTCGAGCTGCGCCCGATGCGTCGCCGATACATCGCCGAGACATCGCCTTCGACCCCATCTCTTCCGACCGCACCTAAGGGGCCTCTAACGTCGCCGCCCGCGGCTCTCAGAGCCGCCCCGCCCTCGGGCTGCGCCACCCCCAGAGCCGGCGGCCGCCGCTCGCCCCCGCCAGCGCCTACTGGTGCGCGCGCCGCACCAAGAGCTCCTCCTCCTTCTCCTCCTCCTCCTCCTCCTCCTCCTCCTCCTCCTCCTCCTCCTCCCCCCCACCCCGCCGCCGCAGGCCCCGCCCGCAGTGCGCTCCAGGCATCGGTGCCTCTCTTAGTGGGCCCTCGAAACGACAGGGCCGTTTTTTTACCGGTTCCGTTTTGCCGTTTTTTCGCTGGTGCCGACGCCGTTTTTTTTCTAGTTCCGTCGCCGTGTTTTGACCGGTTCTGGCTCTGGTTCCAATCCTGAAGCTGTTTTTTTGCCGTTTCCGGTCGCCGTTTTTTTGCCGTTTCCATTTTCAAGGGACATTTTTTGGAAACGGTGAAAAACGGCCCTGCCGTTTCCGGGCCCACAAAGGTGCCTCTACGTCTGTACAGGGCTGCGCAGGGCGCCGCGCTCTTCGCTCGCCAGGCTCCCTTTGGGCCCACTGCGCAGGAGGAGCGCGAAAGACCCCTCCTGCCCACAAAATACAGAGGCGGGTCGGATGGCCCACGGGAGCCACGCTACATGCAGGCCGAGACCGAGACATCTTCGAATGTTTCTGTCATGTTGACGAGGAGATCTTTGATCACAGGTATCGGGGGGGCGGAGATGTCCCGGACCCCCGCCATCACGGTAGTTACCTAGCCCGGCTAGGCTCGCGCATGCTCAGCCAGAAGTACATGCACGATGTCAGCTAGTAGCAGCTGCGTGCTGTATGCTTATGCCCTCGGGCTGCACGCCCTGAAGCTCCTCCGCGCCACCAGCCCCCCCCCCAATTCAAAGCGTCAGGCCCAGGGTTGCACCCCCTGGAGCTCCTTGCCGCTACTCGCCCCCCACACATCCCAAAATCCCTTCCCGCCACCCCCCCGTCCCCCTGAGTGTGCCCTGGAAACCGCAAGGCCGTTTTAAATTGTGGAAGCGGTCAAACAATTGCGACCGGAAACGGTAAACAAACGGCGCTGGGGTTGAAACCGCAGCCATAGCGGGCGCCGGAATTGGAGAAAAGAACGGCGACGGAACCGGCAACACAAGCGGCGAAAAAGCCGGCAACAAAAACGGCAGCACGGAACCAGTAGAAGAACGGTCTTGTCGTTTCCAGGGCCCACTTAAGCGTTCCCCCCCCCCCCGGGTTGCGCCCCCCTCAGCGCTCGTCGCCAACACCCTCGGACACGTGCCTGTGGGACGGGGCTCTGTGCCATTGGCCTTCAGTCGGGTCTGTCCCTCTGCAGGCAGAATCTTCCCGAATAACAGAAAAGTAGTCCGGGGACGATTGTTCATGCTCTTTTGACGATGTCTGGATCTGTTCGGGCGGCTTTTTATTGCGAAGGCCTTACGGCCGGTGCCGCCGACCCTGAATGGCGACGACGACGACGACGACGACGACGACGACGACGACGACGACGACGAGCGCTCTTGGGGGCCTCTTGGGGGTAGTTTGTGGGCCTCTTGGGAAGCTCTCAGGGGCCGTTTGGAAGCCTCGTGGGGGCCTCTTGGGGCTTCCTGGGGGTCTCTTGGAGGGGGCCTGGGACGTCTTGGAGGCTTCTTGGACGGTCTTGTGGCTATCTTGGGCGTTTCGGCCGATCTTTGGGCGACTCGGGGCCCTCTTGGGCCGTCTCGGGGGCCATCTTGGGCATTCGGACCTCATTTGGAGTGTTTTCGAGGTTTCTAGGCCGCCCGAGGAAAAACGAATCTGCCCCCCCACCCCCCCGGGACCCCCCCCCCCCTGGGGAAGGGATCAAAGGGAAGGGGCTTCCCTTCGACTCGATTACGACACTGCTAGATTTTTCTCTCGCTCACGAGTTTGAGAAGGAAGCTGCAGGGAAAGGGGACGACGGAGGCGACGGCCGACGGAGACGACGACTCGAACAGCCAAGCCCCTGGCACACGCCGACAGGGTCGGCGGATTTGTTCTTGCAAGATCCGCCTGTATCAGGAGGGAAAAGAAGCACACAGACACACTTATTCGTCGATTCCCAGAAGATATGGGAAAGTATGGGCATTGGGGGGGAAGACCAAAACCCAGAAAATATGGGGAAATGTGGGGAATCGGTTTCTTTGTGTGCATGTATTTGTGTGTGCCACGGCCCCTTCACTGTAGAGGGGGCGCGCCCGGCCTGCCGCTGGCCCCGCCGAGCCCCACGCCCCTGGCGCTGCGCCCCCCGAAGCTCGCCGCCGCCACCACCTATGGCCTCTCGCCGCGCCGTGGGGGATCCGCAGTGCAGCTGCAGCTCAGGAGGGAAAGAAACACACAGACACAACTGATCCTCGATTCCCCAGAAAATACATGGGAAACTATGGGAAGTGGGGGGGGAGGACGGAAACCCAGAAAACATGGGAAAAGATGAGCAGCATGTGTTATCAGTGTGTATCTATTTGTGTGTCCTGGGGCCCCTTCGCTACAGCCGCGCCGTCGGGGATCGACGTGTGCCGTTTCCGTGGGGCACCGCGGACGTCCGCCGCCGAGCGGGGCGGCACCGGCCGCATTTGGCGGAGGGCACCTCCCCCGATTCGTGGATTTGGCGACCGCGCGCCAAGTCCATGGATCGCGAATCCATGTTTTCAGGAGGCCAAGAAACACACAGGCACAATGAAGCGTCGACCCCCAGGAAAATATGGGAAAATGTCGGAAGTGGGGGGGAGACGACAACCCCAAAAATATGGGGAAATATGGGGGATCCTTTTGATCAGAGCGTGAATTACCTACCCCGCTTTCGCTTCCAGGCAAAACCAAGTCATACCACGCGCCTCCTCGTCAAGCGGTCTGACCAGAACAGGCCGTAGTTTGGCATCGCTTGGCATCTCTTGGAAGCGAGGGTGGTCAAAAGCGAGGTAGGTTTGTTTGCCCCCTATTTAATGTTGTGTCTTTATTTGCGTGTCCGCGTCAAGTCCATGGATCGCGAATCCATGTTTTCAGGAGGGCAAGCAACACATTGGCACAATGAACCGTCGACCCCCAGGAATTATTCTTGGGGGGAAGACGACAATCCCAACAAATATGGGAAAACGTGGGGGATCCTTCTAATTTATTTGTGTATTTATTTGCGTGTCCCAGGGCCCCTTCCGTTTGCGCGAACCCCAGCTCTTGGCGTGCCGGCTGTTTTCCGCGCGCGCGCCCTCGATTCGCTGCTCGGGGCCCGCGCGTCGCCGTGAGCCACGGGTGCCCTGTGGTGCGCGCGTTGGCCAGCAGGCGTGCTGGCAGCGTTCGGGGAACGCAGAACGGCATAAGCAGGACAACGGAAGCCATGGCCTTAGAGGACGCAGTCTGCTCGATATCCCGGCTGATACATCAGAATACCACCGTAAAGCGCGGCAGAGTTCAGCACAGTTTTTTATCTTCACAACATATGCGTGGTGGCCTGTCACGGTGTGGCTAGAGGCGTCCGAAAAAAAAAAGAACAACTCGGAGATCCGCGCGGATTTCTCGGATCCGCGCTGGACCCCCCTGGCGGCGCCTCTGGCGCCGCCCCTGGCGCGCGCCGCGCGCCAGGGAGGGGGGTCCGGCGTGGATCCGAGAAATCCGCGCGGACCTGCGAGTTTTTATGTTTATGTCATTCTTCGTTCCCCTGAGCGTTTGGCCTTGCCGACGAGACATGCGCGGGTCGCGCTGGCAGTGCGAAATCTGCGAAGTGCCCGTTGGCAGAAGGTAGGGAGGTAGTCACCAGAGGGAGGTCAACAGCGGGGCCCAGTCGGAGGGCAGAGGAGGACGATCTCTTCGTTGCCTTTGCGCCGGGGAGTTCGCCGACATCATGCAGCGTATCGGCACCGAGGTTGACAGCGTCCGCAAGCTCACAGAGAGGACATTCAAGGACATTCCATCGCACATGTTGGCCCACATTCTCGACCTTGCTACTACGCTCAAATCTCTTCCTCGCCATCTTCCCTTGAACCTTGTCATGTTCGTTGCGTGTTGTGCCGTTGAGCGGGACTGTCGTATGAACGGCGTCTCAGCAGATGACGCCCAGAGCGTCGTACACTTACCCTGCGTCATGTTGCTAACATAGTTCAGGAGGGGGAAAAAACACACACACAGACACAATTAATCGTCGATTCCCCAGGAAATATGGGAAACTATGGGAAGTGGGGGGGGAAGACAACAACCCAGAAAATATGGGGAAATGTAGGGAATCCTGTTATTTGTGTACTGATGTGTGTGTGTGTGTGTGTTTGTGTGTTTGTGTGTGTGTGTGTGTGTGCGTGCGTGCGCGTGCGCGTGCGCGTGCGCGTGCGCGTGCGCGTGCGTGCTTGCGTGTGCGTGCGTGCGTGCGTGCGTGCGTGCGTGCGTGCGTGCGTGCGTGCGTGCGTGCGTGCGTGCGTGCGTGCGTGCGTGCGTGCGTGCGTGTGTGTGTGTGTGTGTGTGTGTGTGTGTGTGTGTGTGTGTGTGTGTGTGAGTGTGTGTGTGTGTGTGTGTGTGTGTGTGTGTGTGTGTGTGTGTGTGTGTGTGTGTGTGTGTGTGTGTGTGTGTGTGTGTGTGTGTGTCAGGGCCCCTTCAAGAGCGGCGTACACGTACCCTGCGTCGTGTTGCTGACATAGTGCCCCTGGCCAGTGTCGCCCTGGGCTGCCCGCCCTGCAACCTCCCGATCGGACGGCACGCGGGGGCGGCAAACAGGGAGGGGGGGGACGAGTAAGGGGAAGAGGAGAAGGAGGAGGAGGAGGAGGAGGAGGAGGAGTACGAGGAGGGGGAGGAGGAGGAAGAGGAGTACGAGGAGGAGGAGGAGGAGGAGGAGTACGAGGAGGAGGAAGGAGGAGGGGGGGGGGGATGTCATGGCGGGTGCCATGATACCTCCCCAGATCTCATGGGTCGCCTCTTCTTCTCTCAGTGCGTCCTTGGCACCCCCATGGGCGGCGCGCGTGCCGCTGGCCAGGCTTGACGCTCCCCCCCTCCCTCTGGAGCGTCCCCTCCTTGGACGCTCCCGAGACGTGGCAGCACGCCAAGTGCTGGCCCAACGGCAGCACCCGAACACTTCTCGTCAACTGGGTGGCTCCTTCGTGCGGCTAGTGCGCTGACATGTTCAGGATGTCGGGAGCCTCGAGACGGGGGTCAGTGCAGACGGGGGTCAGCCAGGGCGCCAGATCCTGCAGGATCCTGCGAAGACCCCCTCTGGCTGACCTGGGTTAGCGAGCCGCTCGTGGCCGCGAGGCGGCCGCGCCTATTGGCTGACCCGGGTTTGCGAAGACCCGCGTTGCAGTTTGTTTGTTCCTGCATTGCAGTTTTCGGTGTCCTGCTGACCCGGGTCTGGATTGACCCGGGTCCGAAGATCCCCAAGGATGGCCTGTCACGCTGGCGGAGCCATGGCGATGTTCCCCCCCCCTGGTTGCCCTCGCACGCAGCACGCGGTGTGCTCCTCCAGAGGCGGAGCCCCACGGGAGTAGGGTATGTTCAGGATGGCCTGTCACGCTGGCGGAGCCACGCCGTTTGTTCCCCCCCCCCCCCCCGGCCGCCCTCGCACGCCGCACGCGGCGTGCTCCTCCAGAGGCGGAGCCCCGCGGGAGTGGCGGCGCGCAGGCGAGGCGGGGCAGGCGCGGCCCGCGCGGCCCGCCCCGGCACGCGGAGCGGTCCTGCCAGACCCGGGCAGCGGAACCTGGGCCCCGGGGTGGCGAGGGGGTCCTCCTCCTCCTCCTCCTCCTCCTGCCTCCCCTCCTCCTCCTCCTCCTCCTCTGCCTCCTCCTCCTCCTCCTCCTCCCCCTCCTCCTCCTCCCTCCTCCTCCCCTCCTCCTCCTCCTCCTCCTCCTCCTCCTCCTCCTCTCTCTCCTCCTCCTCTTCCTGCCTCCCCCTCCTCCTCCTCCTCCTCCTCCTCCTCCTCCTCCTCCTCCTCCTCCTCCTCCTCCTCCTCCTCCTCCTCTGCCTCCCCCCCTCTGCCCCTCCTCCTCCTCCTCTCTCCTCCTCCTCCTCCTCCTCCTCTGCCTCCCCCTCCTCCTCCTCCTCCACCTCCTCCACCTCCTCCTCCTTCCACCCTCCAAGTTGTGGTGGTGGTGGCGGAACACGGTCCCATCATGGCGCACAGACCCTCAGAGGGCAGCACAAGAAGGTAACGGCAGGTTCGTGTCGTGCCGGCGCGGCAGCGGCCCCGCCCTGGGTGTTCCAGGTGGAGCACCGGCGGTGGCCCAGAGTCGACCAATATGGCACGATCGGGCGATCGAGAGGAGGAGGTCCTCCTCCTCCTCCTCCTCCTCCTCCTCCTCCTCCTCCTCCTCCTCCCCCTCCTCCCCCTCGTTCTAAGGTGAGACGATCCACGCGGCGTCCGAAGCCAACGCCGAAGGCACGACACGAACCTGCCGTAGCTGCCGGAGCAGCTGCTCTGGAGCAGCTACAGCGGAGGCCAGCCCCCAAGAAGCCTTCCACGAGAAGCCCGACCCGGAGGCCCCAGGACGTCCACTGGTTCATGGTGTGGGAGCGTTGCGCTTCCCGTAGCAGAACCATCGGAACCCGAGAGCCCCACGGCACCCTTCGGGCCGGGCGAAAGGGGGGGATTGGGAAAGGGTGGGTTACGAAATTTGCTGCATGCAGCTGGTTTCGGCCTCACCGAGGGGCCCATTCCTCGACGCATGGCCGCCTCCGGCGCCGGGAGGCGCCGGGAAAATCAGCTGCGTGAGCTGATTCTCAAACCCCCCCTTTGCTATCCCCCCCTTTCGCCCGACCCGAACCCTGGCGGCAAGCAGGGTGCTTCTTGGCATGGGTCTCCACTGCAGCTGGGAGCGGGGCGGTGTGCCGGCCCTCATGCCCGAGGCCGGGCGCGCGGGTGTGGCACGCTCACCGAGCGCGTCCCGCTCCTCGCAGAGTGCCTGCTCGCAAGCGACCGAACAAAAACATTCAGGAGGGCAAAAAACACACAGACACAATGAATCGTCGATTCCCCAGAGAATATGGGAAAATATGGGAAGTGGGGGGGGAGACAGAAACCGAGAAAATATAGGAAAATATGGGGAATCCTTTTATTTATGTGTATTTATTTGTTTGTCCTAGGGCCCCTTCAAACATGCCTTCCTCTGCGTAATGGAGTGTAGATCCCACGCGGCGGATCCAGGCCATTGGCGAGTAGTTTACTTCGCGACTAGTGGGACGCGCTCGTCAACACACGGGGCCCCCCCTGCGTCGCTCGGGCCAGGCGAAAGGGGGGGATTGGGAAAGGGGGGGTTACGAAATTTGCTGCATGCAGCTGGTTTCGGCCTCGCCGAGGGGCCCATTCCTCGACGCATGGCCGCCTCTGGCGCCGGGAGGCGCCGGGAAAATCAGCTACGCGAGCTGATTCTCACCCCCCCCCTTTGCTATCCCCCCCTTTCGCCCGACCCGATCCTTGTGGACGACGATCAATTGAGAGGAAAGCATGTTGCCAAATCATTTTTCCAGGTGTCAAGACATGTCTTCAACAGGCCTTCAACGTGTAAAACGCATGTTTAGAACATGTTCAGAGCATGTTTCCGACATTTCGCGCCCTGAGTCGCGAAGCCCGACCTGAGTCGCGAAGCCGGGCGGGGTGCCCGCGAGGTGGGGCGCCCTGCGGCCCCTGCGCGCGCGGGTGCTGGGGCGAGCCGCGCGAGGACGACGGCGTCATCCGCTTCTCGGAGGTCGTGGACGTGGTGTTCCGCCTCAGGAGGGCGCGCGCGTCTGTGGGCGCGCTCCCGGGGAGGAGGGCGGAGGTTTCTTCCTTCCTCTCCTCCTCCTCCTCCTCCTCCTCTCCTCCTCCTCCTCCTCCTCCTCCTCCTTCCCCCTCCTCCTCCTCCTCCTCTTCCTCCTCCTCTCCTCCTCCTCCCTCCTCCTCCTCCTCCTTCCCTCCTCCCCTCCTCCTCCTCCTCCTCCTCCTCCTCCTCCTCCTCCTTTTCCTCCTCACTTTCCGCCTCCTCCTCCTCCTCCTCCTTTTCCTCCTCCTCCTCTTGGACGCGGAGTTCCGCCTCAGGCGCGCCCCGCCGCGCGCCCTGGGCGGCCCGTCGGTGCTTCCCTGGGCTCCCGAGGGCGCGGAGGTCACTCTCGCCTGCTGCCGGGGTTCGGCCCTGTCCGGGGGGGGGGAGGGGGAGGGAAGAGTGAGCTCGGCTCCTCCACTCGGCGGTGAGCGAGGGAGGAGGTCAGAGGAGATGGCCTTCCCAGAAGGCGGCGGGGCTTCTCAGAAGCCCCCGCGCCTCCTGAGAAGGCCGGGCGACGTCCGAGCCTTCCGAGAAGGCCCGCCCCTTCTCAGTGCCCCCCTTGGGCTCGCCGCCGACTGAAGCTGCCTTGCTCGAGGCCGCCGTTGTCTCGTGAAGCACTGTTTTCTTGGCCTGTCTGTGTGTTTTCTGTGGGAGCTCGCGTCCGAGGCCCGTTTTTCCCTGCGTTTGCATTTTTCGTTGACTCTGACCCCCAGAAGTCTGACCCCCACCACGGCAGTTCCTCGCGGCGATGGCGCGCCGGCGACGCCAGCGAAGGCTCTCAAGGTGGAATGCCGCAGGAAAAAGAACGACGCGGGAGCACGGAGGGGCACGGTGACGCCGTGGGACCCGACGGAGTTTCCTTCTGAGCGGTCGGGGCCGCAATGGACTCCAGGCTGAGTCGGAGGGCACCAACTATACACCTACACCGATCCTGGCCAGGCCGATCCTGGACCCAGGGTGATCCTGGCCAGGATCGGTGTTGGTGTATAGTTGGTGCCTTCCTACAGTCGGGGCCGCAATGGATTCCAGGCTGAGTGATCGACGCGAAGCCCGAAACTTGTGCGCGCGCCGACGCCGCGCGGACCTGCCGTAGCAGACGAGTGCGGAGCAGGCCTCTCGGCGAGGCAGTCGGCGCGCCTCTCGGCGCTCCTCCTGGGGAGGAGGGAAGAGGTTCCCTCCTTCCCCTCCTCCCCCTCCCCCTCCCCCTCCTCCTCCTCCTCCTCCCCCTCCTCCCCCCTCCCTCCCCCTCCTCCTCCTTTCCCTCCTTTTCCTCCTCCTCCTTCTCCTCCTCCTCCTCCTCCCTCCTCCTCCTCCTCTATGTCCTCCTCCTCCTTCTCATCTCCCCTCCTCCCCCTCCTCCCCCACCTCCTCCTTTCTCCTTCCTCCTCCTCCTCCTCCTCCTCTCTCCTCCTCCTCCTCCTCCTCCTCCTCCTCCCGCCTCCTCCATCTCCTCCATCTCCTTCACCTCCTCCATCTCCTCCTCCCCCTCCTCCCACTCCTTCACCTCCTCCTCCTCCTCCTTGGGTCGCCTGCGGCCCCGGGGGAAACTGTGCAGTCGCAGCTTGTCACGAGAAGCGTTTCCCTACTCGTGCCCAGTGCGCGTGCTGGAGTCCTTTCCGCAGCTCCTTCGGAGCTCCGTGTGAGCTCCTTCGAAGCTCCTTGCTGGAGCTTGCAAGCTCTCCAGACACCCCTCCAAGCGCCCTTGCAAGCGTTTCCCAGAAGCGTTTCACGCGCTTGGGACTACGTCGCTGTCCTGGTTTTGGACGCCACACGTGTTTTTTGTTGTCCTCCCTTGTTTCAGCGAGAGAGAACAGAGAGACGACCGTACACGACGGCGAAGACGATGGACGACAGACGCACGACGGGGCTCCGGAAGGGGGGGGGTTCTGTTTCTGGAGTTCTGGATATGGCGACCAGGTCGGGGGAAGGCTTGCTTGAACACGAGATTCCTGCGTCGTGGCTAGCTCAGCTTTGCCGTAAGTTTGGGGCAATACTCGGGGCGGGGCGCGCGCGCGCCAGCCCTTTGGAGGGACAGCGCCCAGGGACCACCACGTCGGTCCTGCTCGAGGAATGCAACAGAAAGAGGGGGTCTTGAGTTCCCGCCGCCCACCAAGACCACCCCCACCCAACCCAACCCGAACTACTACTACTACTACTACTACTGCTACTACTACTCCTACTGCTACTACGACTACTACTACGACTACCACTACTACTACTACTACTACTACTACTACTACTACTACTACTACGACTAGCTACTAAC